TCTCCATTAAGAATGATGTTGGCCGTTGGTTTTGCATAGATGCCCTGTATTATGTAGAGAAATTTCCATTCTATACCTATTTGATTGAGAGTTTTTATCAGGAATGGGTGTTGGACTTTGTCAGATGCCTTTTCTGTGTCAGTTGAGATGATCATGTGATTCTTTCCTTTCCTTTTATTTATGTGGTGGATTACGTTGATTGATTTTCTAATGTTCAACCATCCTTGCATACCCGGTATGAATCCTACTTGGTCGTGGTGTATTATTTTTTCGATATGATGCTGAATTCTGTTGGCTAGAATTTTGTGAAGAATTTTTGCATCTATATTCATGAGAGATACTGGTCTGTAATTTTCTTTTTTTGTGACGTCTTTCCCAGGTTTTTGTATCAGCGTTATGCTGGCTTCATAGAATGAATTTGGAAATGTTGCCTCCTTTTCTGTGCTCTGAAATAGTTTGAGTAGTACTGGTACAAGCTCTCTGTAAATGTTTTGTAGAATTCTCCAGTGAAGCCATCTGGGCCAGGCAACCCCATGTGACAGTAGAACTGCCCCACAAAGTTTTCTAGGCTATAATCTTTTACAGGAGCAGATCACAAAATGAAAATAGCACTTTAAAAAAATAAAATAAAAATTTGAGAACTCCTACTTTACAAAAGAAAACTCTGGCTTTCTGGTGTAATTCAGAAGATAAAATAACTTTTACTTGTAGACAGTATAATGACTTAAGGTTACCTGGCTTTTTCTTTTGCCTTAGGTGAGTTTCCAGTGTGGAGTGAGTGTGTGTATGTGCACATACACGTAGGTATAATTTTTTTTTTTTTTTTTTAGGGTTATAATTACAAAAAGTAAAATTTTTTTTATTTATGATCAAAAGGTTTATTCTTGTCGCATTTAATCTTAGGAAGAAACTCTCCAGTATTAAAAAACTAAAATCAAGTTTATTCACATTTGGGTTTTTTTTCCCCTTGCCTTTTAAAAAAATATAATAAAGAAATAGGTTTGTGTATCTGTAAATCTGTGTGTGTTTTGAGGTTGCTTACTGCAGTGTCTGAACTTTCTGCTATTCAATTAAAGACTAATATATGCATCTTTGTTTACAGGTGTCCCATTTCCCAAAAACTTTATGTCTGTGGCAAAGACTATTCTAAAGCGTCTGTTCAGGGTTTATGCCCATATTTACCATCAGCACTTTGATTCTGTGATGCAGCTGCAAGAAGAGGCCCACCTCAACACCTCTTTTAAGCACTTTATTTTCTTCGTTCAGGTAAGTTGAACCAGGGTGACTTCTGCATCTTTTTACTTGGACTTGTTTGGATTGGTAATGTCAATAAAATAATAAAGATCATTGTGTCTTATTTATAGATGGAACTAAGTACTTAGGGTTTCTCGCGTCTTTGTTCTTTCTTTTCCGTACTGTTTATTGCATTGATGTTCATAGCAGCATAGAAGGGCATTGTCTCCGTTTTGATCCTTCTGCCTTTGGCTGCCCCGTATCCCTGGTTAGGATACATCATTGAGGGATGTGACCTATTGCCTTATAGACCCTTAGTTAAATTGGAACTTTGTTGTTGTTATTTTTGTGGTAAATATATAGGTAACAAAACATTTGTCATTTCTGGAATCTTTATATGTTCATTAATGTACATGTGACGTTAATTTTGTTCATCATGTTATTCAGTCATCACTGTTAACCATTCCCCAATTTTTCCATCACCCTTAACAGAAGCTCAGTGTCCCCTAAGCATTGTGTCTTTTTCCCCTCCCTTCACCCACCACTGGTAACCACTAATAAGTTTGATCTCTATACACTTGCCTGTTCTAGATATTTTATATCCCTGGTGGCACAGTGGTTAAGCGCTTGGCTGCTAAGTAAAAGGTCAGCAGTTTAAACCCACCAGCCGCTCCATGGGAGAAAGATGTGGCAGCCTGCTTCTGTAAAGATTTACAGCCTTGGAAACCCTACAGGGCAGTTCTACTCTGTCCTGTAGGGTCACTATGAGTTGAAATAGACTTTATGGCAATGAATCGGGGATCAATAAATATTTATCCTTTTGTGACTGACTTATTTCACTGAGCATAATATTTTCAAGGTTCATCCATGTTGTAGCATGTATCAGAACTTCATTTCTTGTTATGGCTGAGTAATGTTCCATTAGAATTGGAACTTTTAAAAATAATTCACATTGTTTGAAAAGGAAACCAAAGAATTAGGACTCTTTTAGCCTAACTTTAGAGATATCTAATTTTATATATGTATGTAAAACATAAACGTGTGTTTGTTTTATAGTGAAAAAACCTGATAGCCTTATAATATTTAGCTGTGTTAATCCTTGCATGGTAAACAGTTTTGTATACCACACAAAGGAGAACAACATACTCTGCTTTTCCCTGTCTTCTTTTGAGATTGCTGAATTGCATATATTTATATTTTTATGTGTGTGTGTGCATATTAATTAAAGTAAAAGGTTCACTTCCCTAGAAGTGGCCACTATGAAAAGTTCAGTTTCCAGATAATTTATTTGTATATTTCAACATGTATATAATTTTGATTTTAATGTTTTACACAGTGAGGATTGTACTCATGTACAGTTGGTTATCTGATAAGTCCCCTGTATTTTTAAAAAGGGAATAAAGGTCCTATTTTTAAATGTTCACAGAGATCATGTCATTCTTTTAGGATTTCAGAAAACTAGGTTTGGAAACCCTTCTCTAAATGACATTTAAAGAGTTTTAATCTTATTGACCGTGTAATGAGAAACTATTTGTTCTGTAAACCTTCATCTAAAGTACAAAAAAAAAAAATAGTTTTAATCTTAGAGCTATTTTTAAATTTTCTTTCTTTTCTTTCTTTCTTTAGGAGTTTAATCTGATTGATAGGCGTGAGTTGGCACCTCTTCAGGAATTAATTGAGAAGCTTGGATCAAAAGACAGATAAAGGTTTCTTTTAGAAAACAGCTACCTTCTTCCTTCATCTACTGCTAGAGCTGTCTCATTGCAATCTCTTATAAACTAGTAACACAAACTTTAAGAAAACAGGATAAAAAGACACCCATTGTCTGTGTCTACTGGTTTCTACCTTTGGGTTGGCCTGCTGACTTCAGAGGGAGACCCTAAGGGCACAGCCAACTCTGATGTGCTGTGTGACCACTCCTGTTATTATTACAGTGTCACACTTGGTTGTACTTTGTGATGACTAACCTGTAGTTTATTAGTTTACTTAATTCTTTTGCTGAAGACAATGATTCATTCTGTTTCAGGTGACAGCATAATGGATATTAAGAATTTCTACCAGTGATTTATAAGCAAGTTTCCAGAACAGATTTCCTAACAACACAATCAGATTAGTTTTATTCCACCACTTCTGTTGTACAAATAGAAAAAAAAGAATTTTTAAGTTTCCTTAACATTTAGAACATTTGTGTCACTTTGGATAACCCTTTAGTTTCAAATTTGTATGCTAGTGTTTCTATAGATAAGAATATATATGTGTGTATTTTTACAAAATCCGTGATTACAGTTTAAATCATCATGTAGCATTTGTGGCATGGGAGCAACCAAAGTTATTTCTAAAATGACTTTATTTTTTAATCTTTATAAACACAGAAACCTATCTTAAATTGTTAGGAGTTTGTGTGTGTCGTAAATAATTTTGTGTAAGGTTTCTAAGGATGATGTTACAGATTTTTATTTTGAAATGCTTCATTAAAATTAATTTTAACATGTGTTGTTTTTGGTTAAGAGAAGAAAACTTCCAAAAAATTATGACAAGCTTAGGTCTCACAGCCACTATATTCATTCATGTTGTTTTTCAAAAGCCTTCTAATTCTAGGTAGGTGAATGGAAGAAAGTACTGAGAGTACTTGAGTTATTTTGTTTTGAGTTTCCTTTTTTTTTTTTTTTTTTAACATCTATATGTTTTTATTGTGACTTGAGAGTTAGTTAAGAGTAGTGAAGAAATGTATGAACTTTATCCCAATAAGAACAACTTAAGGAGAATCACAGTAAAAACCATGAAGGGGTATGCAGTTTACAACATAGCAAAAGGTTTTGTGTACCTTTTGTGTGTATGTTTAAAGAAGACAAAGTGGGAGGACTAAGTAAAAAAAACAGTCTTCATTCTGTTCATATTAAAAGGATGGATTGAACGCCTGTAGGGGCTGTATCCTGTTTTAATTGTTTTTGTAGCAAAACTTCAATTTCTGTTGGGATAAAAAGAATATTCCCCCTTTAATGAAGAAAATGCCTTTTTTTTTTTTTTTCCATTTGGTTGCTAGGATTTCATAAGCTCTAGCTGGTTGTTTAAAATATGTTGAGGCACAAATACTGTATTTTTACACAAATAATGCCGCAGCTTCTGCGTTTGTTTGCCAGCCATGCCCTCCCCTTCCCTTCCCTCCTGAGGTATTTTCTTAGGCACACTCTGCTAATTTTTTTTTTTACATTAGCATGTGAAGGAGGGTTGGCATAGCAGCCTTGTGAGGATGTCTGGGGGGCAGGGAGTAGTTGGCAAACAGACGTAGAAGGTGCGAGTTATTTACCTAAAAACATGGTATGTTGGAAGACTTGCCAGATTGGCAGATCTTTAAATTCATCAGCATTCTGTGTTTTAGAGCTGTGATTTTTGCAGAATACTCACCAGCCTCCTGATGGCTTTGATAAAACGTTTAATTTTATAGTAATTTTTTTTGGGGGGTGGCTATTTATTTTTACTATTTCACTAGACTGTGAAAAAAAAAATTGTTTAGAAACCCCATCTTTAATAACTCAATTTCAGTAAATTCTTAACTATATACAGAATTTTAAAGGAAGTAAAACATTTCTTCTAATTTAGGCTGGAAGCATACATCATTGTTTGAGTGGGATAATCACGAAAAAAAGAGAAAAGCCCTGTAGGACACATTCCACAACCAGTTGTTTTAAGCTTATTGAAAGGCCCCTGTCAACAGTTCTGTGTTTATGTTGATCACTTAATGAAAAGAAAGCCGGTTTTTAGATGCCACCTAGAATGTTACTCTCAACTTTACGTTAAGCTTTGTTAGATTTAATTTTTCCTTCATCCGCAAGGAATGAACTTACATTTCTCAACTCTAGGGTTGTACTTTCATCATTTCTAATAATTCAGATATCCTCAGACAAAGGGGTTCTCATTTTTCCACATTTACCTTCAGTGATAGAAATTCTCCCTCTCTTTAAGACTAAGCCCCCAAATGAACCAAAGATGGTCACATCCTAGAACCAGAAGTAAAGGCAACTCACGCAACGTAAATCAAAAGTTTGTTGGTAATTTGAGATTCAGAATCCCACTCGTCAGTTTTTTTAAAATAAAAACATTGTTACCAGGCTCCCAGGCTAATCTGACTTAACAAACAATGCACCTGAATGGTAATTTAACATTATTTGTTTACAATCAAGTTCAGGGAGTTGACAGGAAGAGAATTAGAGGGAGGGGAGAGGATGGCATTCTTCTGACTTAAGGGCCAACCTGGTAAGAATTGGAAGAGATCAGTCTGTCCTTGGCCCCTCTCACTTTTCATTTATCTCCCCAGTGCTCAGGGTCAGCACTAACCCAGGGTTCCCTGTCCCACAACATCCACTTCTCTTCCCCTCCTATTCTGAAGTCTTGTCTTCTCTAACCGATCTCTGCTCCTCACACCTGCTCACTGTCTTGGGGTGGAGAGTGCTAAATTGTGCAGTTAATCCTACGGTGCTTTTATTTTCAGGACAGTGATGTGGTTATGTTTGTTTAAATATCGAGACTTCTTTACCACAGTTTTTGTATTGACAGCCACAGGTATTCTTTATTCTTCTTCAGCTTGTGAATAAGGTGATGTTACAGGGCTGCCAGCTAACAAAGTATTACATGTTAAGCTTGTAGAGCCCTGGCTCATGCAGCTGTTACTCAGGAAATGCAAGGCTGTGTTCCCCACGACTTTGATAACAACACAGAGAACGTTTTTCTAGTAGCGCAGAGGCAAGAGGAACAGTCTCAGTGGTGATTTTAACTTTTGCAAACCTTGTTGACGTTTCCTGATAAGTCTTTTGGCCTTCTCTCTAAGCAATGAGGTTCTGCTAGAAGTAGAGCTTCTCATACACAGCATCATTACCTCGTAAGAGTAAACAAATCAGGCCCAGAGAGTATAATCCTAGAAATTTGTTTCTAAGCAGCTCCAGGCATGATGCTGGTGCTCCCCCTGCCTTGTCAAAGGTGTGCTGTCTCCTGTCAATGTGAGTCCCAGGCCTGAAAAATGGCAGGCCTGGACACCGAACACTGAGCACCTTCAACAGGGACATATTTCTTCCTGATGTTTAGTTCAGTGAGTGGATTTGATTTTTACTATTGTAAATTTTGGCAAAATGGGAAAAAAGTAGTGATTTCAGTCTTATGTTTTGCATTAGGTTTTGATATTTCAGACTATAAAAGGCTTTTGACAGTCATAGGGATGATATTACCTATGGTGGCAGTAATTTTATTGAAGCAATTGCGTTGAAATTCACTTGGGTTTTATCTCATCATCAAATTCTATTCCAAACAAGTATTCTGTAAATCTGAATGGATTACCAGTGTGTTACATAGAGACTTGCTATAACAGTCTGTGTTTGACATCAAAAATAGTTTGCATAAGTTAGTCTTGGTTACCTTCTAAAATATTTTTAAGTGTTCTTTACATAAAAATTTGTGTTGTATTTTTAAACCTTTAGGGGCTTTATCTATTTTTCTAAGTCAGTTAACTGTACTTTTAAAGAAGTATTTTGTTACCTACTTTTGTAACTTCAGAATAAAGTATATTGAAAAAAATAACTGATTAAAATGAGTGTCAATACTTAACTTCTATTTAAATTTGGATACTTTGGATTTTTGCAGGTTCTATGGATTTTGAGTGCAACTTAAGTTTGAGAGTGCTTGTCAGTAGCTAAAATGTTTTCTTAACTCTGAGAAGAAAAGTAAGTTCCTAAATGAACTGAATACCTTCTAATACCAGAATCCCACCCCTAAGAAACAAACAGTGCCCCTGATTACAGTGGTTAAAACCCAGCCCAGGCAAAGATGAGTAGTCTCCTAACATGCTAACCAAGCTCTTGAGCCACTTTTGTGCATCCTTGGTTGAGAGATTGAGAAGAGAAGGGACTGGACTTACTAATTTTCTGATCTGGAAACTGAGTACCTAGCATATCTCCTCAAGACACCCACCTTCACCCCAGACAGCCGCTTAGGCATTCATTATTGTCGGAGAAATATTAGGGTTACTTTTAGAAGTCCAAATTAGATACATTTTGGGTTTATTGAAAATAGCACTGCTAGAATTCTTTTAACTTTTTTTGAGTAAAGTTAAAAACTTAATGAACGTGGCTAAATAATACTGGTTAAAACTCATTTTGTGTAAGGGTATGGGTAAGCTAGCAGTCAGTTTTAGATTTTTTGACAGTTATATTTCAGTAGGCGTCACAAGAAATGAGAATTTGCAAAGGCATCTAATAGCTGTCTTTGAAAGCTACATCAAACTTTATAATAGAATAACCCAGATAATCTTTGGGAAAGATTTGAAGCTGCACACCCAGAAACAATGTCCAAACCATACCTTGGGCCTTCTCTAGCAAATACCTCACTGATGTTGCCACCAGGTACGGACACCACAACCTGCACCGTCGCTGGCCACTAGATGTCAGTTTCTGCCACAGCTCTTCCCAAAAGCCAACTGCCTCTGCCCAAAGAGTAAAGGGTCTTACAGAGGGCTTCGAACCCTGCTGAGAATCTGCATTTCCAACAAGCCGCAGGAAATCATACATTAGAATCACGTGGCGTTCTTGTTAAAATGTAGATTCTGATTCAGTATATCTGAGGTGGCAATGCAGATTCTCAGCAGGGTACTTGTTACAATGCACATTCTCAGCAGGGTCCAAACCAGAACTAACTAGTTTGAAGCCCTGGTTTTACATCGCAGTTGTGTGTGTGTCTGCCTAGTCAGAAACACACATGGGTGCTTTTAACTAGTAGAGGAGCTGAGGGTAAGTTCCTAAATTTTTACTTGGGGTCATGGAACTCGTAGCAAAATTGCTTGGAAGATGTTGGGTGGTCCAGAAGCGTGGACTGGCTGCTCTGTAAGAACATAAGTCAGCTGACGTTTGTGTAGTAGACTAGATACAGTGAAGGAAGTAGATTGTTGTGACTTAGGTTCTGGCCACGCTCCTTGTGTGTGGCAAACCAGCACTGAGTATCATTGCCTTAGGGCCACTACCTTTCAGGTGACTCCTTTAGTAGATTATCTCATTTAATACTTACAGTAGCCCTGAGGAAGGGGTGAGGGTTGAGAGGTAGGCTAGGAATTTTCCAGACCAAGTCACAAAAGCCCAAGTGTATTCAAATAGCTAATACAAAACAAAGCGGGTCTCTGTTTCTCAGGTTTGCATTTGCAAGAATTTTGCATGCTCAAGAATGCTAAGGAAGCTCTATAAAACGAAATGAGAATGCAATTTAAAAATCATCCCAATGAGGTAAAGAGGATGTATCCTATTTGCTTCTATCACCCTGCCGTGGGTTAATTACTTTTGTGTGTGGCCTTTCCACCCATGGTCTTGTAACTCCCACCCAGGTAATTGTGTGACAGGGTAATTGTGGCCTACCAAGGGGATTGGTCAGTTTGCCTTAAAAGAGCCAATTTCAGAGCAAGGAGGAGGAGTTCACCACCACCAAGGAAGGAGAGACCCTGCAGCGGGAGACTGCATGGTGGGCTTCCCAGGCCAGGGAGAGGCATGCCTTCCAAGCACGGCTGGTAAGAGGCTATCCTGATGGAAGAACTGTATCTTGAGTGTTCCTAAACCTGAATTTTAACTGTTACTTCCCTAATAAACCCTATAATTGCAAGTATGGTCTGAGCTCTGTGTGGCCATTGCAGTGAATTATTGAACCCAGTAAAGAGTGCTGTGAGAGGGACAGTTGGTGTCAGAATTGGCAGAGATGGCGGAGAGAGGAGACATGTCTGACCTCCACTTGATAGGAATTAGCCTTAGGCTGTTGATCTTGGTTCTCCTTCCGCCTTGTGGGGTTGAAGGAGGACCGGCACCTCCCCTGTGCCGTTTTTACACGCACACACACAAATTACACTTGAACTATTAGTTGGAACTAATTTGGAAGCCCAAGATTGGTGAGATTGTCCTGCAAAGCCTTTTCTAAAGTTCAAATTTTGTGTAAGAGTTACAAAATTGAGGCGTCTGGCTTGTATCAGAATGATGGGCCCAGGTCTGAGCTGAACTCCATCTTAGCTTTTATTTCTCCCGCAACTGTCAGACCCTTAGTCAGACTTAAGTACATAACAAAAGATTTCCCCTGCAACCATCAAACCCTTAGATGGACTTTCAGTACATAACAAAGAAAACTTCTCTGGTTAAATAAAGAGGGAAAGAATTCTTAAGGGAGGGTCCGGACACAAGGCCCTTATCAGGAATTGCCTCAGCAGCCCTCAGGAAATGTTTTTTTAAGATAATTACTTTGTGACCATCCTGTAGACTCCCCACCTCCCTTATTCATGTATTTAAACTAACCAATCGAAGTAGCACGCATTAGTGTTTCCAACCAATCACTATAAAGCCCCCCCTCAAGTTGTCCCACATCCTGTTTACCTAATCTTGCAACTTCCTATCAGAACGTATTTTACCTCATAAATATGCCTCTGTGACTCCACCATTTAGAAGCATTTGGTTTCATTTTGTGAGATCAGATGTGTCCCCTGTTCAAACGTCTTGAACCTTCAATAAATCTCTTTGTTTTTATTTTTAACAGAGTGTGCGTTCTTACTCATTGACAAATTAAAACTTGGGGAGCTAGAATTACTAAACCACTATTCTGTTCATTAATCACAGTGTGTGTGCTTTTTGTCAAATGTCATGCTAGGCTGTTGGGATACATAAATGACTTAAGCAAGATCCTGTCCTCATGGACAGGAGAAATGGACACATATTAAATGAATAATTTCTTTTATAAGGATCAGCACAAAGCTGATTCCTATGAGAAGGAGGTTAAAGATGTCCCAAATGTCCAACTTTTCCAAACTGCTGTACCACTCCATCATCTCTAACATCAACTATTCCCCCTCCCATCTTTGGGTTCTGTAATTAGCAGCAAAGTCTCACAGAACTCATGAACCGTATCAAGGAAATGGCTCGCAACAGTTGTGGAGGCTGGCAAGTCCCAAATCCATGGGTCAAGGGTAGGCTTCTCCCGACCCACGTGGCTGCAGGGGCTACAGGGGCTGATGAGCCCAAACCTGCAGGTCAAACCACATGCTGCTGGCTTACAAGGCTGAAGCTGGTAAATCAGGTCAGATGATAGGCCCTGGCCCACAGGGCTGTGGGGACTGGTAAATTGCAGAATCGAGGGGTCAGACAGCAGGCCTCTGGCTCAAGTCCCAAGAACCAGAGGTTAGACGATCACCAACTGGATGTGGAATCCAGATGTAGAGAGAGAAAGCTTTGCCAGGGCACCCACATACATACCTTGGATGCAGGCCACACCCCAGGGAAAGGGCTACTTTGAGTAAGCGTGGGACTTGAGTCACATCCTCCTGCAAGGCTGTGACTCAAGATACACCCTACAACAATGCTGCCTCATTAACATATAAAGGTTAGGATTTACAGCATACAAAATGGAGGATAATCACACAATACTGGAAATCATGACCTAGCCAAGTTGACATGTAACCTCAACCATTACAGGTTCAATATACCTTATTTGCATAGTCCCACTCATTGTGTGTGAGTCACAAAGACCATGGCTAGAAGGGCCATAGTAAGCAATTCATTGCACTGCACATACATAAATTGATAGTTCTAATAGCGCCAAAAGTGTAATAGAAGTTATGCACAAGTTGCAGGCCTTATCTTTCTGTGGGCCAGTCAGAGGTGGCTCCCTGGAGAGGATGAGGCTTGAACTGGCTTAAAAGATGGGTAACTGCTTTAACCAAACTCACTTTGTCAAAAACCTAAATGTGCAGAGAAACACCAAAAATGAGTGTGACAATATATTTATTGTGAGTAGATACGATTCGGGCAGCATCAACCTGGAAAGTATCAGGAAGGCGCTCCAAAGAGGGAATAGTGAAAATATTGTCATGTTAATTTCTTAGGAGATAGCATCAGAAGCCGTGCAGGGATCCAGGGTCGGTCAGTTGTAGAAACAGTCACTAAGGACATGCCACACACTTTCCAGTCAGATCCTGGGGTTCCTACTCCTCGAAACTGGCTGCACATAGGTAATTCTCTAAAAGAGCCCAATAGCCATTGCCACTGAGTTGATTCCAACTCATAGCCACCCTATTGGACAGAGTAGAACTGCCTCATAGGGTTTCCAAGGCTGTAATCTTGACAGAAGCAGACTGCCACATCTTTCTCCCATGGAACGTGGGTTTGAACCACCAACCTTTCGGTTAGCAGCTAAGTGCTTAACAGTTGCACCACCAGGGCTCAGGGCAAAATGATCTCCGTTAAGCTGCTTACTAGGCTTTTGCTTGACTTGAAGGTGACTTTAGGAAAACAGCTCCTTAAAGGCTCAAGGTTCAAAAGGATGCCTAAGGGCAGATGGCCTGAGTGGGTCATCCCAAATCCATGGACCCAGAAATCTGGATTCTAGAATTAAAACAGTTTCTCAACTTCATAAAATAGCATAGCTTATATATAGAGGGAAGTATAAATAGTTCAGTATTACTGAATTGTGAATTTCAGTTGGACAGGTAGGTAGGGGTTAAGTCATATGAAAGAACTAGGGTTTTACTTTGTAGATGATAAGTGGGAAGGATTTTTGGTTCAGATGGCTCTGACAGCAATGTGGAAGCAGGGTAAATAAGGGGAGGAGACTGGAGCAAAGAGACTAGTCCAGAATAACAGATAACGTGAACAATTATTGAACTATGGGGAAAAGGAAGGTTGCAGACGAGCAAGAGTACTGATTTTTACTAAAGGAAAGAAGGAAGAATTCTGCAAATGCAAATCAGTGGGCTTAACATGGGACTCTTAGTGATATGTGACAAAGCCACAAAAATGGCTTTAGTCAACTGCTCATTTCTGACACTGCTGGTTTCCAGTTGCACAAGTGATGTCAAACATCTCTCTCCATCTCTCAGTTCTGTTTTCCTTTTGTGCTTGCTTCATTTCCAAAGTAGCTCTCCTCACATGGTGGCAAAGATGGCCACCAGGCTTACTTCCTACCAGCTTGACAACCTAGTTGAAAAAAGATCATCTCTCTTCTTTGCATAGTTTCAGGAAAAGTTCCTGGGCCAACTCTCCTTGGCCTGTCTCAGATCATGTGACCAACCCTAAACCAATCCCTATGTCTGATTGGCCAGACCTGGGTCGTGTGCTCCCTGTTAGAACAGGGCACCCTTCTGTCTCATCTGAACCATGTGGTTTGTTTAGCAAAGGGGTGGTTCCCCAATACAGCACTGGAAAAAATATTAACCGTTTTAATCGCATAATTGACATCAATAAAGAAAATTTAAAAGATAACAAATTATCCCCAGTCCCATTAACTTTCAAAGAATCAAGCAAAAAAAAATTTGAGAGAAACTATTACAGTAATCCAAAAGAGAAATTATGAGGGCCAGAATATAGGAGTCATTCCATTAATGTTGAAATAAATAAGCTCAATGATCACTTTAAAGAACAACTGTAGGTCCAACCCATTTAAATACAGCACTGAAGGTACTGATTGCATAAGCCAGAGGCAATGGCAAAAAGAGCTAATAGCTGGTAATTCCTGAGAGTATCACCAAACCACCTGCCTGCAAACGTACAGCCCGAGAAAGGGCTTGGTTCAATCTGGTACTTGATTTTTGTCTGACAGTACTCCAGAGACAGGGCATGTTTGCTGACTGAATCTTAGCCATCCATTATGGCATCAGCTTCTACTATGTTCTCATGACTACAATCTAGCTGCAGCCTAGGCCTCGTCTGGGCCATGTCCTGCAGGCATCTCACACTCAAGCAAATCCAAAACTGAATTTTCAGTTCCCCTCACCCCAAATCTACCCTTCCTCCATCCATTTCATTGCCCAAGCCAGAAATTTGGGAGTCATCTCAGACGCCTTCTTCACCCTCTTCACCCTCACCCCCACATACAGTCACCCCGTTTCATTCACCTTCCAGGTATCTCAATCCACTACTTCTTCTCATTCTAGCTACTACCACTGCTTTTGTGGTAGTGTTATTAGCTGTGAAGTAGATTCCAACTCATGGTGACCTCATGTGTGCAGAGTAGAACTGTTTTATAGAGTTTTCAAGGCTATGATCACCAGGTCTGTCTTCAGAGGCACCTCTGGGTGAGTTCAAACCATCAACCTTGCAGCTAGTAGTTGAGTGCTTAACCATTTGCACCACCCACGGACCTGCTTTAGTGCTGTTGTTGTTGTTAGATGCTGTCAAGTCAGTTCTGACTCATAGTGACCCTGTGTACAACAGAATGAAACACTGCCTGGTCCTGCACCATCCTCACAATCTCGCTATGTTGGAGCCCACTGTTGTAGCCACTATGTCAATCCATCTCGTTGAGGGTCTTCCTTTTTTTTGCTGACCCTCTACCAGGCATGATGTCTTTCTCCAGGGACTGGTCCTTCCTTATAACATGTCCAAAGTTTGTAAGACGAAGTCTCATCATCCTCGCTTTTAAGGAGCATTCTGGCTGTACCTCTTCCAAAACAGATTTGTTCATTCTTCTGGCAATCCATGGTATATTCAGTATTCTTTGACAACACCGTAATTCAAAGGCACCAATTCTTTGGTCTTCCTTATTCATTGTCCAGCTTTCGCATGCATATGAGGCGATTGGAAATACCATGGCTTGTGTCAGGTGCGACTTAGTCCTCAAAGTGACATCTTTGCTTTTTAACACTTTAAAGAGGTCTTTTACGGCACATTTGCCCAGTGCAATACGTCATTTGATTTCTTGACTGCTGCTCCATTAGCTTTAATTGTGGATCCAAGTAAAATGATATCCTTGACAACTTCAATCTTTTCTCCGTTTATCATGATGTCGCTTATCGGTCCAGTTGTGAGGATTCTTGTTTTCTTTATGTTGAGGTGCAATCCATACTGAAGGCTGTGGTCTTTGATCTTCATCAGTAAGTACTTGAAGTTCTCTTTACTTTCAGCTAACAAGGTTGTGTCATCTGCATATCGCAGGTTGTTCTTGAGTCTTCCTCCAATCCTCACGCCACGTTTTTCATATAGTCCAGCTTCTCGCGTTATTTGCTCAGCATACACACTGAATAAATATGGTGAAAGTATAGTACAGAACTCCTCAATTCTCACCTGGACCATTGGCAATAGCCTCGGAACTTGTGTCCTTGTCTCCAAGTTCAGCTCCCTACAAGCGCTCCTTCACACAGGAGCCAGAAGGATCTTTCAGGAGCCAGGCCCCCGGGCCGAGTGCCCTGTGAGCGAGGGCACAGGGCGGGACCCTGGCAACGGCGACTGTGGATGGTTAATGGTGGCGCTTCCCGAGCTTTGGAGGCCCGGGCGATGCGGGGTCCGGGCCAGGGCTGAGTCGGGGGCGGGGCCGGGGCTGAGTCGGGGGTGGGGCCGGGTGGCCGCGGCCTCCGGGCGGTAGGTGGCGACCTCGCCAGCGCCTGCGGCTCTCTGTCCCTGTCTCCACTCCTTTCGTGCGACACGGTGACCTCGGTCGGCGGGCCGCGTGAGCCGGGTATGGCGGCGTGGGGCCCGGCCGCGGCAGCTCCTCTGCTCCGCGGGATCCGCGGGGTGAGCCGGGCGGGGGCCGGGGCTACTCTACCCGGGGCGGGGGCTGCAGAGGGACCAAGGGTTCCAGGACTCGCGAAGCGGCCTCAGCGTCCTTGTTCTCGTTTATTCATTCATTCATTCCATGGGCCCCGGCAACGGGTATTTGGATAAGTATCAGACCCCCGCGCGCCCTGGGGGAGCTCCCGAGCGGAGTAGAGGTCGGGGGTAAGGGGGACAAACACAGAAACAGTCATAAGACAGTGGGCACAGGAAAAAGAAATGTTGATTTACAAATGTTGGCATAGAAGTCATACCCCAGAGCCCTGGTGTGAGCGCCGGAGACTGGGAAGGGATCTGGAAACCCCGGCCAGCCCTCTGTGACCTTGACTCTGGAGCTACATGCAGAGTAGGAGCCCCCCAGAGAGCGCCTCACCACGCCACTCTCCTAATCTTCTGTCCCCTTTCTAATTCATCCTTCTGCCCCTTCTTACCCCCTTTTTTCTTTTCTGCGTTCCTCCTTCTCCCCTGCTGGTCTTGCAGCCGCTTCCCCTTTGGGTGAAGAACAGTTCTGCTGGTGACCTTCAGCGTGGACAGTCCTCGTCTGGGGATTTTGTCAGCAGATTGTTCTTTTGGGTAGGAGTTTGAACTAAAGGCTGCTGCCCACAGTTCTGCTAAGATGAAAGAAAGGCTTCTCCCATGGATTCTGCGGTGCTAGCCATCTTCATCCCTTCCTGACTACCACTTCTGCCTGCCCCCAGATTACCCTTCTGCCTCTGCCCTCTAGAACCGCCCACTCCCTGCACTCTTACACCCGCAACAGGAATTTTCTGTTCTGCCCCTCTATACAGCAGACAGCTTAACTCCAGACCTTTCTCCTGACCCCAGGTCTGCATCTCCAACTGCCAGCCAGACTTCTTTGTGGATGCCTAGTATCTTGTGGTTTGTCCCTCACTCATTCATTCATTCATTCATTCATCACCTAGTCTTGCTGAGGGCCTGCCCTGGACACAGCTCTGGAACACTGCAGTTAACAGGAGAGGCTCGGTCTTGGCCTTTAAGACTGGTGAGAGAAGCAGTGAACAGGGAATTTTAAAGAATGTGCTATGAGGTTGTATGACACAGAACCGAGGATGCAGTACTGAGTGTGTGTAGCAGCACAAGAGTGGTACCTGGTGAATGGGGTAGTACCTTTGCTGACAGCCCTGGTGTTCTCCCAGGCTCCCTTGCCATCCACGTCCAGTCAGGGACCAAAGACCGTAGCATCTTTCTTTGTAATGCCTCTCATTTTTGCATCTTTCCTGATAAACTTCTTAAGGAATTGTTTCATGCAGTTTCCTTTTGTACCAAGAGCCTTCACTGGGGTTACATCACCTGCGTGACAAACTCTGAAATCTTTAGCCTGGTACGCAAGGCCTGCTGTAATCTATTTTCATTCTCCCTTTTCAGCAAGTGCTCAACCAAGCCAAGTGGCTGCTGACCTGGTTTTCTGTTCCTTCACTCCTAGGGGATGAGATACATTCCCATCAGGAGCCCTGGCTTCCTTTGGTGGCCACTGGTTGAGGGGTGGGGGTGGAGGGACTCTTGCCAATAGTAAGTAATATAAAACTCTTCCTCCTTCAGTTGGTTTAATAGAATTCTGCCTCTCCTCCCCAGTGAGTATTAGCATGTGGTGCAAAGGGTAGCCAAGTCCCTGGGTGGTACAAATGATTAACACACTTGGCTGCTAACCAAAAAGTTGGAGGTTCAAGTCCACCCACGGGCACGTCAGAAGAAAGGTCTAGTGATCTACTTCCAGAAAAGCCAGCCAACCGTAAGGAGCACACTTCTACTCTGAGACACATGGGGTCGCCATGAGTCAGAATCGACTCCACGACAACTAGTACTGGTTGCAAAGGGTAACTGGCTTACTGAGCAGTAAGTCACAGGTCACATCCCTTTGGGGAGGATGTGGCATGTTAATCAGGCCTAAAGGGTGGGTGGAATTTCACCCCAACGTGTGGGGCAGTGTGGATGGGCAGCCGTGGTAGCCTAGCAAGGCCTACCTGAGGTGAACTGCGTGGCTTCTCTCCTGTCTGCCTCTTACGGACCCAGCCTTGGTTGCACATTACCTTGTGCCTTGGTTTCCTCACTTATAAAACTGTGATGATAGTGTCTCTCTCAAATTATCATGTGAGTTAAACATTTGTTGAATTCAGTATTTGGCCTTGTCTTAAAGTGAGTGACAGGTAATCCCTGACTTAAGATGGGGTTTCCTTCCAACAACTCTGTCATAAGTCAATTCTGATGTAAGTAGAATATCTCTTTTTTTTTTTTTTTTTAGTTTTTGTAGCCTGCTATACGGAGTGTTTTGAACAGTAAATTATAACACTGAACATGTATGAGCAAACATCTGAGAATGATAACATCAGCAAATTACACACTGCAACATTATATGTAGTAGCAAACCAACCCATTGCCGTCCATTTGATTCCAACTCATAGTGACCCTGTAAGACAGAGGAGAACTGCCCCATAGGGTTTCCAAGGCTGTAACCTTTATTTTTATTTTATTTTATTTTTTTATTGTTGTAGTTTAAATGAAGTTTACATTTCAAGTTAGTCTCCCATACAAAAATTTATACATACTTTGTTATGTGACTATAATTGTTCTCCCCATACTGTAACAGCACACTCCTCCTTTCCACCCCTGATTCCCCATGTCCATTCAACCAGCTCCTAACCCTCTCTGCCTTCCCATCTCACCTCTGGACAGAAGCTGCCCGTTTAGTCTCTTGTATCTACTTGAGCTAAGAGACACACTCTTCACGAGTATCACCTTATGTCCCACAGTCCAGTCCAATCCCTGTCTGAAGAGTTGGCTGTAGAAATTGTTTTAGTTCTGGGCTGATAGAGAATCCAGGGGCTATGCTTTCCGAGGTTCCTCCAGTCTCAGTCAGACCATTAAGTCTGGTCTTCTTACTAGAATTTCAGTTCTGCACCCCACCTTTCTCCTGCTCCATTAGGGACTCTTGTGTTCCCTGTCAATTCAGTTGTTGGTGGTAGCCAGGCACCATCTCGTTCTTCTGGACTCAGGCTGATGCAGTCTCTGGTTTATGTGGCTCTTTCTGTCTCTTGTGCTACTACTTTCCTTGTGTCTTTGGTGTTCTTCATTCTCCTTTACTTCAGGTGATTGGGACCAATTGATGCATCTTAGATAGCCGCTCACTAGTTTTTAAGACCTTAGACACCACTCACCAAAGTAGGATGCAGAACATTTTCTTAATAAGCTTTGTTATGCCAACTGACCTAGATGTCCCTTGAAAGCATGGTCCCCAGACCCCTACCGCTGCTACTCTGTCTCTCAAAATGTTTGATTGTATTCAGGAAACTTCTTAGCTTTGGTTTCCAAGGCTGTAATCTTTATGGAAGCAGACTGTCACATCTTTCTCCTGCGGAGTGGCTGGTGGGTTCTAACCGCCAACCTTTTCCGTTAGTAGCCAAGCGCTTAACCGCTGTGCTACCAGGGCTCCTGTATGTAGTACATATAACTGAAAGAAAAAGAAAAGGCAGTCCTACATGCGGTTCATCATAAGTCAAATACATCGTAAGTCAGGGACTACCTGTGTTTACAATTACAAAACAAAAACTATTCTGCGTCCCAAGGCACTTAAATGGACACCTGACTCCTCACAGCCCTGCTAAGTCTGGGCTGATGCTGCTGAGGTGCAAGGGAGGGGGACTGCTTTGCAAGGGAAATGGCAGGTGGGGCGTGCACAGTGGCCCCAGCAGGAGCAGCGCCATCTTGCCTTGACTCTTCTCTCTGCTCTGGGTGACAGCTTCCTCTTTTCTACCATGTACATCGGATGTTTGCCTCCCAGACTGAGGGGGAGCTCAAAGTGACCCAAATTCTCAAAGAAAAGTTTCCTGGAGCGACAGCTATCAAAGTCACCGACATTTCAGGTAATGTTGTCTCTCAACCTTCCCTCGAGCTTTGGTGGGATTTTGTCCTCTGGAGGGGCAGAAGGCAGGGGGCTTGCTGTCAGTGGTTTCTCGGTGTGCATGGGTTTTGGACAGGTGGAACCCAGCCTCTCCCACCTGAGGGGAGAAGGTAAGGATTCAGAAACACCCTCAGGGAACTGGGGGTGAGGCCCAGCAGGAGGATTCAAGGTCACCATTCTGGTCCAGCTAAGGTGAGGTCCTTTAGTCACCCCACGCTCAGGTCCACAGTCTTTAATTTCCCCTCATTCTTCTGACACTAGAATGTCAGAGCTGAAGCGGACCCCAGGAGGGTTTGGTCCAGCTCCCTCCCTTTCCCCATGAGGAGACAAGCCCAGAGGCCAAAGGGCCTGTCCAGCCCCTCACAGGGAGGAGGCTGTAGACCTGGAAGCAGAGCCAAGACCCAGGGCAGACTCTCCCAAGCTAGTTCCCAGCCCCAGCCAGGCTGTCTTTCTGAGGTGGCTACTGGCACCTCAGAATTTCGGGCTGGCTGCGTGTTAGGAACAGGCTGGGGAATCAACTTCTGCACCCACAGGATGGGGAAGATAGGGCCTTTATCCAGAGGCACACGTGCACCAGCTAGCCGGGGGCAGGGGGCAGCTAGATGGGCATCGACCTGGGCCTCCCCGACACCCTGACACAGCCTCTGCCACTCAGCATTTTTCGAAGGCTCGCTGACTGCACTGAGAACTGAACGTTTACAGGATTTGGGAGAAAGTTTAGAAAGAACGATTTTCTTCTGGCAACTTTAGAAAATTTATAAATCTAAAAACCTTTTGGAATGCTCGTTCGGGTAAGGGCTCTGCAGGGGTCCCAGCAATTGCTGAGGCCTTGATGCCATAGCCTTGCCGCTGCCCCAGGCCCAGGGCAGAGCTGGAACTTGACCTCCGGTCTGGCTTTGCCTAGCTTGAACAGAGTACAGAAAGGGAGTCAAGGGCAGGGGACCTGGTGGAACCGGGACTCCTAGAACCGGGACTCCTAGAACACATTATAAGCAAAGCAAAGCAAAACCTGTGGAGTAAATTGCACCTGTCACGTGATGGCCTGCTGTTAACAGCACAGGGGAGATTGTCTTCTCATCCCAGTTATCTGGTGCAGGACCAGCATGTTTTATCATCAGTCCTCAGAACTAGCTCTCCAGCTGTGTGGAGACAAAGCTTGGGAGGGGGATGGATGGGCCCACCATATGCTCTGCCTAGAGAACCACCTGGAACTTCTCCATAAAGCTCCCTCTGGAAGTCCACCCAGGGTGAAACACTTAAAGTTGCTCTGCAGACCAAAAAGAACCCCTAGGTGGTACAAATGGTTAACGTGCTTGGCTGCTAACCAAAAGGTTGGAAGTTTGAGTCCACCCAGAAGCGCCTCAGAAGAAAGGCCTGGCAATCTACTTCCAAAACATCAGCCATCGAAACCCCTATGGAGCACAGTTGTACTCTGACACCCATGGGGTCTCCATGAGTCAGAATTGACTTGACGGCAACTGTTTGGTTTTCTTTTGTTTTTTGGTAGACCAAGAAGTGCTAGAGAGCCACAGGCGGCTCCGTACTCAGCTTGGTGACAGGTTTCGTCGCAATGCCGTGGCCCTGTGTCTCTCACCCTTCCTTGTTCCTTTCTTTTCTTTAAGAGAGTATTACACACACTATTTCAAACCAAATGTTATGCAAGTTTGCATTTTGAAAAATACTGATTGCTAGTCGTTTAGAAGGCGGAACCCTGAGATTCAGTCCTTCCCACCGCTTCCCATCACATTTGTTGGCCTTGTAAAGGAAAATACCATACATTTCCTAGGTTTCCCATGCTTTGTGTCTCACCATTCCTGCCCACAGTAATAACCCTGGGTATTTTTGCCTTGTAAAAGGAAAAGCAAATTTTGGATTGAGGCTGCCTGTCGGGGAAGAGTTTGTAGTCAGATTGTAGGTGATGGTCTTTTTCTTACCAATTTTAGCAACTTTCTTTTATACTGAGTAACAATAGTCAGACTTTCTTTGGATTCTGCAGGTACTTCAAGGACATGTGGGACTGTGGCTTAACTTAATCGAAATGCTTTCAAATCGTGTTTCCTTTAGGAGGCTGTGGGGCGATGTATGAAATCCAAATAGAATCAGAAGATTTTAAGGAGAAGAGAACCGTCCAGCAGCACCAGATGGTTAACCAGGTCAGTAGAGGCACAGATGCTCCTTAACTTCTGGCCGTCAGCATGGGAAAGGGCTGCCGAGTGTGGTGGTATTTTTTACTGTCAGTTCTGTGACAGAATAATGCCTTATGACTTAGTTTGCCAGGGCTGTCATAACCGAAACACCACAGTTAGGTAGCTTTATAGAACAGAAATGTATTTTCTCACGGCCTGGAGGCTGAAAGTCCAAATCAGGGTGTTGGCCATATTGATTCCTTCTCAGGGCCTTTCTCCCAGTTGCAGACTAAGGTTAATATGCTCCTCCACCCTCTGACACCTGTGTTTGCCAGCATCTTCTGCCTTAGGTCTTAGATACTGAAGTCCCTCTTGTCAGCCCCTGAGGTCTGTCAGCCCTTTGTGGGCTGCTTCCCTTTGGGACCCATCTCTGGATTCCTCATGGAGCCCTGTCTTCCCCTTGGCTGTGGGCACCTGCAGCCCTGCAATGTGCTGGCGCTCAGACCTGGAGGTCTGGGGTGGGGCAGCAACCACCTTGTTCCTCCAGAAACTTCCAGCCCCACATAATCTTCAGGGATCGGAGTCAAGGTGGAAGATAAGTCAGGGAAGGCCTGGCTGGCCCAGATCACCCCAACCCATGACACTCTGGGTTTTGTCCCCAGAACTACTCTGGCCACCTGGTGAGATCAGACTGACAGGGGGACTGTTAATTTGAGCACAGCCCTTGGCCTGAAGCCATGGTTACAAATGGTCGAGGACATGGGTTCTGGAGTCAGACTGCCCATGTTTCAAATCCAGGCTCTACTTTCTAGCTGTGTGACCTTGGGCAAGTTACTCAACCTCCCTGTACCTCCATCTCCTAATCTGACAGGGTTGGTGATAAAGGACATGCAGGGCACTGAGAATAGCGACACACAGTAAGCTCTCAGTAAAGACCAGCCACCATCATCACTGTCATCTACAACAGTGGGAAACACCTGGGCCAAGTCCAGGCAGGAGGGCAGTGACTCCCTTATTTGGGGGAATGTGGTCTGCGCCGTCTTGGGTCCAAGGTTTACTCTGGGTGCCTACAGCAACGTGCACTCCCTCATCACTGTCCTGCTCACACCTACCACGTAGTAAACCCCACTGCTTGCCCGTCGTCCCCCTAGAAAGCAGACGTGGTGCCGGCGGGGGCTGAGTCTGTTGTGTCGACTGCCGTGCCCCCCTACCCCACACTTAACAAAGGACCTGAACACAGAAGGAGATCACTCAGTGCGTGCTGAGTGACTGCCTATTTGCAGACTGTAAGGAGAGCAGATTGTTTGGTTACTGCTTACAGAGAAAGGAAATGTTTAGTGCCTGCGAGGTGTTCCATTTCAGAGAATCCATTTCCTGGCATTGGTCTGTGTCAAGCTTAAATCTATGCTTTTCACCTGGAGCAGCCACAGATTGGCCTACTGTAAACCAAAAAAACAAACCCACTGCAGTCAAGTCGATTCCAACTCATGATGACCCCATGGATTACAGAGTAGAACTGCTGGTGCAAACAGTTAAGCGCTCGACCACTAGCTGAAAAGTTGGCGCCTAGGAAGACAGGCCTGGCGATCTGCTTCCAAAAGGTTACAGCCTTGAAAACCCTATGCAGCAGTTCTGCTCTGCACACTGGGTCATCATGAGTCAGAATTAACTTGACAGCAAACAACAACAATCTTTATAGAAGCAGATTGCCAGGCCTTTCTTCTGTGGTGCCGCTGGGTGGGTTTGAACTGCCAAGCTTTAGGTTAGTAGGCGAGCATAAACCATTTGTGCCACGCAGTGATCTCTGGGTGATTATAGGGACCACTTTTCCACCAAGCATTGCTTGTCTTGTAGGTCATACAGCCCACACTGGGTGCCTGCAGCCACTGAGGCAGGGTTGGTGGGGGAGCAAGGGGGCTCTTTGAGCTGGACATAGATGTGTTCCTTGGCCTAGACCCTCAACTTGTACCAAAAAACCAAACTAGTTGCTATCGAGTCGATTCCAACTCATAATAACCCTATAGGACAGAGTAGAACAGCCCCATAGGGTTTCCAAGGAGCGGCCGGTGGATTCAAACAGCTAGCCTTTTGGTTAGCAGACAAACGCTTAACCACTGCACCACCAGGGCCCCTCAGCTTGTACAGAGACCCTAATTAGCTACAGCAAGTCGTTAGGACTTTAATGCATCTGTTTAAATGTGTTGATGCGGTCCTTGTCCAGAGTAAGTCATTTCTTCAGGAGTAATTGCCCATCCACGGTGTCTGGGCTGTCAGGAGTGGGGACCTGGTGTCCTGGGCCACAGCAAAGCTCCCCTAGTTGATCTTTCCTCTTCCCCGTTACACTTAGTAACAGCCATCCTGGTGCCGTAGTCTCCAGAGTTTTGGGCTCAAAAAGGCCCTGAAAAGTTCACCTGGTCTGTCTGATTCTGGAATGTCCTCCCAAACTTCTCAGCATATGGTCCCTGCTTGATTACCTGGGGTCAGGAACCCCTGCTATCACTACTCACACCTGCTTCACCCTCAGGAGTGAATTTAGTGGCTCCTCTGGGACCCTGCCTACATGTGGCAGCCCCTCAGGGGGCTCAGCCTCGCCCTGGTCCCACCATTCGTCTGCCATTTTCTGAAACAGTCACTGAGCATTGGCTCTGGCCCAGGCCCAGGGATGCCAGGATGACAAGTGTAGCCTTCAGAGGGAGCACCCCCCCGATCCTGGGGAGGCTGCAGTCGGGAACAGAACGAGCACTAAGTGAGCATTTGGGTTGGGTGGAGCTGGGTTCAGTCTTGGCTCCCCACTGGGTGGTGGGATCTGAGCCTCAGTTTTGGTATTGGTGAAGGGGGTGGCACATAGGATGGTGTGACGGTTGCATGGGGTCATGACCACACGTGCTGGCATCGAGCTTGGCATGTGGAAGGCATTTGGTAAACGTTCATTGCCTTCTCCCCTTCTCCAGCCTCTTTCCCATCTGTGCCAGATCACCCTCCCCACAGAGCACCTCTGCCCGTGTCTTTCCGCTGCTCAGAGCACCCAGCTGTCCACTGTATTAGCTTCCTAGAGCTGCTGCAACAAAGTACCACAAAGTAGGTGCTTATAAGAACAGAAATTGATTGTCTCTGTTCTGGAGGCTAGGAGTCTGACTTCAGGGGGTCTCTGGGGCCATGCTCTCTGTGAGGCTCTAGGGAAAGGTTCTTTCTTGTCTCTCTCAGCCTCTGGGGGCCCCAGGCATTCCTTCGCTGGCTTGCAGCTACAGCAGAACTCAGTCACCACATGGCTGTCTTCCTTCTGTCTGTCTGCATTTCTCCTTTTTTATAAAGATGCTACTCAGATTGGAATAGCAGCCACCCTACTATGGTATGACCTCATGTCAACATCTTCGAAGACTGTATTTCCAAACAGAGTCTCATTCACAGGTACTGGGGGTTAGGAAGTCAACATAAATTTTGGGGGGACACAATTCAATCCATAACATGCATGGAGTCAAGTCCAACCTTCCTAGCCTGGGATTCAAGGTCGTCTGTGTGATCTGCCTCAGTCTTTCCAACTCCATGGCCTCACACTCCTCTCACTTGCCTGACTGGAGGCCAGGCTTTCCCCAAGGAATTGTGATGGGTTCCCAGCCTCCCCGACCCCCACCTGCCCAGACCCAGGGCTGCCTCCTCCACGCGTGGCCCTTCTCCCCCGGCCCCAGCCCCAGTGCAGGTACACACGGTCCCTCTGAACACTGCCTCGGTCTGGAGCTAGCTTGTGGTCTGACAGTGCTCGTCACTGTCTGCCTTCAGTCCCTGTTCTGTGGACTTGTGTTACTTTCCCTTGCTGTTTTCCTCATTTTCCCATGCCCACTTCATCTGTGCCCCAGCACCCAACATAATGCTGTGGTCATACCCTGTCCTCAAAAATGTTTACCCAAGCTGCACCTTGTAAACCTGGGATGTGGGCCACCTTGCTTCCCCATCAGGCCTCAGTTTCCTCAATGGCACAGAGATCCAGGTGGTCTCTAAAGCCCTCTGTAGCTGTCAGATGCTGTGCCATGTGTTGGGGGCTCACAGTGGGCTACACAGAGCCGGAAGGACAGCATTGGGAAGAGTAAGTGTGCAGGGCATGAGGGGTCAAAGCCCAGAAGATTTCTCTGTCCAAGACCTTTCGCGTGAGGGTGTGGTGGGCTCTCACTTAGCCAAGGAGGCTTTAAGGAGGGGAGGCAGGTGGTGGCCCAGCCATGGTCACAGGGACAGCCTTGGGGAGCTCTCCATGCCTGCAGAAGTGTGTGGCCCAGGGGGCTGTGTCCTTTTCCCCCAGTGATGATGAGGCTTTTCCAGGGGCATTTCTGCTTGTCTGCAGAGTTGGGAGGGGCTTGCACAAGAATGTGGAGATGGTGGAGGTTGTGGGGCAGGTCAGGTGAGGCATCTTATTGGCTCCAAACACAACAGCAGTTCCTGGCATCAGGGCTAGATAGAAACAGGATGGAAACCAGGTGTGGCCAGGACTTCAGGATACCTGGGTTCATGCCTGGATTCTGTGACTCGCTTGCTGACTTGGGAAAGGGATAGACTCCCTCTACTTCATTTTTATAAATAAGGAGATAGGGCTAGATCATCTCTAAAGACCCTTTTGGCTCTGCAAAACTGACCTCATGTATTTGGATTCTTTTTGTTGTGACAGAGATCAGGTTAAAACTAGCATAAGCAAACAAAGGGAATTAACTGGCCCATGTAATGAAATTAACTGGTTTCCGGCACTTCTAGATTCAGGATCTTAAAGAAATTCTTCTGCTTTCCTGCTTTCATATTCTCTCTGTCTCTCAATCTGTGTCAGCTGTTGGCTTCTTTCTGTGTGTTGGCCTTATTTTCTCCTACTGGAGATGGGCTTTCTCTACATGGTGAGGAACACTGTCCCTAGCCTTCTCCAATTGACATTATGCCAGCATAGTGATCCAAGAGACAGGCTCCACGCTGAAAAATCCCAGAGGGGATTCTCATTGGTCCAGTTTGGGTCACATGTCACACCTGGGCCAGTCACATGGCCAGGGGACTGTATACTCATAGGCTGGGCCAGGGCCACATAACAACCTCAGAGTCAGGCCAGTTGGCATCCCCACCAGAAGCATGCCATTAAAGTGGAAAAGGAACAGTTCCCCAAGAGAAGGTAGATCGCTATACAGACTAAAGAAAAAATGTTCACCCCACTATTATCTGATTTTTGGCCTAGTATATAAAAGGATGTTGTCTCCTCTGCATTGATTATAAACTTGAATGGCCCAAGCCTCTCTCAGGTCTTGGAGGCCAACTCTCACCCAGCAACTGCAGAGGCTAAATGTTGGTTTGACTTTGGTAGTTTGTTCAGATCTGGGCCCTGGCACTGATTGTGGCCTTAAACAAGTCTCATAACTGCTTTGTATGTTATTTCCTGCTATAAAGTAAAATGGGGAAAATCTTGCTAACTGGTATGGTTTTAAAGAAATACTGTGGCAATGCAAAAGAGAATGAGGATGCTCCTTACGCCCGATATGGGAAAATCTCCAAGATCAGTGTTAGGGGAAGAAGCAAAGTGTAGAACAATGTGTTTGAAATGTTAGCATTTGTGTTTTAAAAAAGTTGTTGTTGTTAGGTGCAGTCCAGTCGATTCCGACTCATAGCGACCCTACATGCAATAGAATGAAACACTGCCCGGTGTTGCACCATCCTCATAATCCTTGCTATGTTTGAGCCCATTGTTGCAGCCACTGTGTCAGTCCATCTCCTTGAAGGTCTTCCTCTTTTTCGCTGACCCTCTACTTTACCAAGCATGATGTCCTTCTCCAGGGACTGGTCTCTCCTGATAGCATGTTGAAAGTACATGAGACAAGTCTCCCCATCCTTGCTTCTAAGGAGCATTCTGGCTGTACTTCTTCCAAAACAGATTTGTTTGTTCTTCTGGCAGTCCATGATATATTTAATATTCTTTGCCAACACCATAATTGAAAAGTACCAGTTCTTCAGTCTTCCTTATTCATTGTCCAGCTTTCACATGCATACAAGGCGATTGAAAACACCATAGCTTGGTCCTCAAAGTGACATGTTTGCTTTTTAACACTTTAAAGAGGTCTTTTAAGGCAGATTTGCCGAATGCAATACATCATTTGATTTCTTGACTGCGGCTTCATGGGTGTTGATTGTGGATCCAAGTAAAATGAAATCCTTGACAACTTCAATATTTTCTCTATTTATTATGATGTTGCTTGTTGGTCTAGTAGTGAGGATTTTTGTTTCTTTATGTTGAGGTGTAATCCGTACTGAAGACTATAGTCTTTGATCTTCATCAGTAAGTGCTTCAAGTTCTCTTTGCTTTCAGCAAGCAAGGCTGTGTCATCTGCATTCTCACAGGTTGTTAATGAATCTTCCTCCAGTCCTAATACTGCATTCTTCTTCATATAGTCCAGTCTCTCGGATTATTTACTCAGCATACAGATTGAATAAGTATGGTGAAAGGATACAACCCTGATGCCCACCTTTCCTGATTTTAAACAGTATCTCCTTGTTCTGTTCAAATGACTGCCTCTTGGTCTATGTATGTGTTCCTCATGAGCACAATTAAGTGTTTTGGAATTCCTGTTCTTTGCAATGTTATCCATAGTTTGTTAGATTCACACAGTCGAATGCCTTTGCATAGTCAATAAAACACAGGTAAACATCTTTCTAGTATTCTCTACTTTCAGCCAAGATCCATCTGACATCAGCAATGATATGCTCCGTTCCACGTCCTCTTCTGAATCTGGCTTGAAATTTCTGGCAGTTCCCTGTCAGTGTATTGCTGCAGCTGTTGGCTCTCTTCCAGTTGACTGTCCAGATGGCTGTCTTCCAAGTTGCTTGGCATAGACAAGTGAGCGCTTCCAGCATTGCATGCGTTTGTTGAAACATCTCAGTTGGTATTCCCTCAATTCCTGAGCCTTTTTTTTTTTATGCCAGTGCCTTCAGTGCAGCTTGGACTTCTTCCTTCAGTATCATCGGTTCTTAATCATTTGCTACCTCCTGAAATGGTTGAATGTCGACCAATTCTTTTTGGTACAGTGACTCCATGTATTCCTTCCATCTTCTTTTGATGCTTCCTGTGTCATTCAATATTTTGCCTGTAGAATCCTTCATATTGCAACTTGACTTGAATTTTTTCTTTGGTTCTTTCAGCTTGAGAAATTCCGAACGTGTTCTTCCTTTTTGGTTTTCTATCTCCAGGTCTTTGCACATGTCATTATAGTACTTTCTTTTGTCTTCTTGAGCTGCCCTTTGAAATCTTCTGTTCAGATCTTTTACTTCAAAATTTCTTCCATTTGCTTTAGCTTCTTTATGTTCAAGAGCAAGTTTCAGAGTCTCTTTCGACATCCATTTATGTCTTTTCTTTCTTTCTTGTCTTTTTAATGACCTCTTGTTTTTTTCATGTATGATGTCCTTGATGTCATTCCATGACTCATCTGGTCTTCGGTCATTAGTGTTCAGTGCTTCAAATCTATTCTTGAGACAGTCTTTAAGTTCAGGTGGGATATACTTAAGATTGTACTTTGGCTCTCATGGACTTATTTTAATTTTCTTCAGTTTCAGCTTGAACTTGCATAAGAGCAATTGATGGTCTTTTTCATAGATGGCCTCTGGCTTTGTTCTGGCCAATGATATTGAGCTTCTCCATTGTCTCCTTCTACAGACGTAGTCAATTTGATTCCTGTGTATTCCATCCAGCGAGATCCATGTGTATAATTGCTGTTTATGTTATTGAAAAAAGGTATTTCCAGTGAATAGGTCATTGGTCTTGCAAAATTCTGTCATTCAATCTCTGGCGTCGTTTCTATCACCGAGGTCATATTTTCCAACTACTGATCCTTCTTTGTTTCCAACCTTTGCATTCCAATCACCAATAATTACCAATGCATCTTGATTGCATGTTTGATCAATTTCAGACTGCAGAAGTTGGCAAAAATCTTCAGTTTCTTCATCTTTGGCATTAGTGGTTGGTGTGTAAATTTGAATTAGAGTCATATTAATTGGTCTTCCTTGTGGACATATGGATATTATCCTATCACTCACAGAGTTGTACTTCAGGATAGATCTTGAAATGTTCTTTTTGACAATGAATTCGATGCCATTCCTCTTCAGTTTGTCATTCCAGGCATAGTAGACTATATGATTGTGTGATTCAAAATGGCTAATACCAGTCCATTTCAGCTAATGCCTAGGATATTGATCTTCAAGTATTCCGTTTCATTTTTGACAACTTCCAGTTTCCTAGATTCATACTTCATGCATTCCATGTTCCAATTATTAATGGATGTTTGCAGCTGTTTCTTCTCATTTTGAGTTGTTCCACATTAGCAAATGAAGGTCCAGAAAGCTTTACTCCATCCATGTTATTAAGGTTGACTCTACTTTGAGGGTGAGCCCTGGTGGCGCAGTGGTTAAAGTGATCGACTGCTAACTGAAAGTTTGGCAGTTTAAAACCACCAGTGGCTCTGTGGGAGAAAGATGTGGCAGCCTGTTTCCCTAGAGATTTACAGCCTTGGAAACCATATGGGGTCGGAACTGACTCGACAGCAGTGGGTTTTGGGTTTTTCTACTTTGAGGACACAGCCCTTCGCCAGCCGTATTTTGAGTGCCTTCCAACCTGAGGGGCTCATCTTCCAGCACTATATCAGACAGTATTCCACTGCTATCCATAAGGTTTTCACTGGCCAGTTTTTTCAGAAGTAGATCATTAGGTTCTTCTTCTTAGTCTGTCTTAGTCTGGAAGCTCCACTGAAACCTGTCCACCATGAGTGACCCTGCTGGCATTTGGAATACCGGTGGCATAGCTTCCAGCATCTCAGCAACATGCAAGCCACCACAGTACAACAAACTGACAGACGAGTGGTAGTAATGGCGTAGAATATACATTCAGATTAGCGTGAATAGGCATTAAAAAATTCCTGCAAGGATACACAAGAAACTAACAACAGTTCCTATTTGTAGGTCAGGGTGGAGACTGGGTGGAGCACAGGTGTGGGAGGAAGACCTTACTGTATGCCTTTTTATACCTTTTGATTTTTTGAGCTACATTAGGTATTTAAACATTAAAAAAAACATTTTCCATAAACAGGGGAAAAAACTGCTTAAACAAAGTGTGTGCGAAGTCTCTTACAGGTATAGAGCTATACAAAAATACTCTAATAGAGGCTCATTGAAATCACTGTCAAATATGAAATCAATGATGGTGCTCTTTTCTCACTCAGGCACTAAAAGAAGAAATCAAAGAAATGCATGGACTGCGGATATTCACCTCCGTCCCCAAACACTGAACACGCCTTGGCCGCGCTGCTACTTAAAACCTTTGAAGAACTTGACTGTCACTGGTTTTTCCTAGGCATTTGCCAAAAGATTTATCTACTTTGTTCATAGACGTTTCTATATTATAATTATAGAGGAATATGTTATCTATGTAGGTGTTAATTAAAGGCAACGGGCAACCGAGGTTTTAGAAGGGCTATTTGCACTGCTTCTAGTTCCTTTACTTCGGAAGCAACATTGTTTCTCCAATGTGATCTTGTCTTTGGACGGTTCTGTCCTGCTGCTGCAGAGGCAGTGCCAGCTATTTTTGTCTTGTGAACAGACATTCTTTTTTTTAAATATATATATATATATATAATTTATTTTATGTTGTTGAGAACATACACTAATTCAACAGTTTCTACATGTATAATTCAGTCACACTGATTACATTCTTTGAATTGTGCAACCATTCTCACCTCCTTTTCTGAATCATTCCTCTGCCATTAACATAAACTCACTGCCCCCTAAGGTCCCTGTCTGATCTTTCGAGTTGCCATTATCAGTTTGATCCCATATAGATAGTTCTTAAGAGAACACAACGCTCAAGGCAGACATTATTTTTTTTTTTTTCCCATACAAAAATTTATACATACATTGTTATGTGACTCTACTTGCTCTCCCCATACTGTGACAGCACACTCCTCCCTTCCACCGCTGATTCCCCATGTCCATTCAACCAACTCCTAACCCTCTCTGCCTTCCCATCTCACCCCTGGACAGAAGCTGACCATTTAGTCTCTTGTATCTACTTGAGCTAAGAGGCACACTCCTCATGAGTATCACTTTGTGTCCCACAGTCCAGTCCAATCCCTGTCTGAAGAGTTGGCCTCAGGAATGGTAAGTGTGGCTTAACCAGCCAGGCATCCTGGGAATCTCCAGACACCACAGAGGAACATAGGCTTCTCCCTCTGCTTCATCCTCCACCTCGGGGGACCCATCAGGCCTAGTAAAATTTGTCAGTCCTACCACTTTCTAGAAGGAGCTCTGGTGGCCCTATAGTTAAGCACTCAGCTGCTAACCAAGAGGTTGGCGGTTGGAACCCACCATCAGCTCTACAGGAGAGAAGACCTGGTGATATGTTCCTGTAAAGATTTCAGCCTAGAGTAGACAGTTCTAATCTGTCCTGTTGGGTCCGTATGAGTCAGAATCAATTCAATGGCATCTAACACCACCACCGCTTTCTAAATGTCTGCTCCCAGATCTGGCAACAAAGCTTTTTAAAGTAGGCTACCCTTCCCCCAGCTGTTCTTCCCTCTATTTAAAAGGAGAGTTGGGAGATGAATCACAGGTTTTTAAAAACTCATTAAAAAAGAAGAAGGAATTGTTTAATCTTAGTGGCCAGACTATAATATTGCATCTGATACAGCCAACTCCTAGCTTTTTTATTAAATGCTACTTGGGAAAATGCTGAATTAAGATGATATTTTTTTATTGTTGTTGTTGATTTTGTTTCTGTTGTTGATTTGTGGCTTAGGAGACCCCATGTGCTACAGAAAAGAACTGCTCCATAGGATTTTCTTGGCTATCACCTTTATGGAGGCAGACTACCAGGTCTGTTTTTTCCACTGTGCCGCTGGTTGGGTTCGAACTACCAACCTTTTGGTTACCAGCTAAGCACAAACTGTTTGCACCACACAGGACCTTCAATATGTATTGTCTGGGTTATCTAGTGCTGCTATAACAGAAATACCACAAGTGGATGGTTTTAATGAAGAGAAGTTTATTTCCTCACAGTTTAAGTTGGCTAGAAGTCCAAATTCAGGGCGTCAGCCCCAGGGGAAGGCTTTTTCTCTCTGTTGACCTTCTTCTCTTCGGTGTTCCCCTGGACTGGGAGCTTCTCTGCGCAGGGACCCTGGTCCAAAGGATGCACTCTGCTCCCAGCACTGCTTTCTTGATGGTATGAGGTCCCCCTGTCTCACTGCTCACTTCTGTCTTTTATATCTCAAGAGATTGCCTCAGGACACAATCCAATCTTGTAGACTGAGTCCTGCCTCACTAACACAACTGCTGCCCATCCTCCCTCATTAATATCATAGAAGCAGGATTTACAACATATAGGAAAACCACACAACACCAGGAATCAAGGACCGGCCAAATTGATACACACATTTTTTGGGGGACATAATTCAATCCATGACATGTATATTTATGTATTTTTAAAGCCAAGTGTCCTTTTAGAAACAGTGTGCTGTTTTCCAGCAGAAAACCCCAAGTGTCCTGAGGAAGGTGCTTGCTGAGTAGGCAAGTCAATCTAAGGGAACCTGCCCATCCACAGCCCTCACTGTAGGGACTCCCAGCACATTTTGTTCCGAGGGTCTCTGTGGTGCCCTTTACAACATGACTGACCGCCCAACTAGCAGTGTATGGATAGGCTGTCCAGCAACCCATGAGGAGGCCCCGGGGCCACAGAGCGGCACCCAGACAGTGGTCAGGAGCCGATCAATCAGGTTTCCTTTCTTGGGAATCCCAACTGAGAAGAGTGAGTAGATGACCAAGGACAGCCACCCCACAGACTGCCTAATGGCCTGTGGAAAAGCGCAGGGCAGACAAACCTGGGAAACATGGATAGAACTGGGTAAGGAGAAGCTGGAGTTGAAAAAATGGACTGAGAGATACCTTCAGAGTTAAGAGGAAGCATTCACTATGACATAAAGCAGATAATTTGCAATCCTGGCCGCAAATTAGAACTACCTGAGGTATTTAAGTCTCTCCACAGCTGGGTCCCTCCCAGGTCTAAGAGGCCAGTTAGTGAGGGGCAAGGAGAAGGGCCACAGAGAGGCGAGGTGAGTCATGTTAAAGGCAGAGTCTTAACGTGAAGTACCCGAGACTCCTTAGGGCCCCTTGAGTCAGGATCCCCCGCCCCTACACACACACTCTGAGACCTGCCCTGGTAAGATATTGTCACTGTGAATTTAAAAGATCATTTATGTATTTTAATTTTTTTTTTTTTTGGAGAAAAATATGTTTATTAGAGAGGCTGATGAGAAGGTTCAACTAAAAGATGCCAAACAGATGCTTTTTCTTTAGAATAAGAATAGAAAGAAACCATCATGTTGGCTGTATGCAAACAAAACCTACTCAGAACCCAAGTGTCTGTGATGAGGTCAAGTGTGGGGCAGTCAGCAAGAAGCCAGGAGTGTAAGCGCCTGGGTCTCCACTGCAGTTACCAAAACAAAAATGTCATTAGGCAGCAGGATAACCAATTAAACAGATAAAAGAATGAAAAGTTAAAACAACTAAAGTTCAAGTAATCCTTTTAGTTTTTTTCTTATAACAGCCTTTATTTTTTAGAACAGTTTTAGATTTACAGAAAAATTGAGAAGCTAGTACAGAGTTCCCATATTACCCTGCACCCAGGTCCTCTGATTATTCAAATCTTACATTAGTGTGGTAAAGTTGTTACAATTAGTGAATCAATATTGATACATTATTAAAGTGCTTAGCTTATTCAGGTTTCCTCAGTTTTACCTAATGTCTTTTCCTATTCCAGGATCCCTCCGGAACACCATGTTATTATTTAGTTGTCATACTTCCTTAGGCTTCTCTTGGCTGTGCTGGTTTCTCAGAATTTCTTTTTGATGACCATTTTTTTCAGAAACTTCTAGATAAGAGGCTCTTATTTATTTTTTTCTCATGATGCATGTTTTTGTAAATGAGGGAATGTCCTTGTTAAAATGATGTAACAGTCACCAGTTGCCATTGAGTCCATGTGTGCAGAGTGGAACTGTGCTTCATGGAGTTTTCAAGGCTGCGACCTTTTGGATGCAGATCTCCATGCCTGTCTTCCAAGGCACGTCTTGGGTGGGTTTGAACTGCCAATCTTCTGGTTACCAGTCAAGTGCTTAACTTTGTGCCACCCAGAACCCCCTGATTCTTTCGTTTTCAAATGGCAGTATAGTATATACAAACATATTCTGTGGGAGAATTATGGGCATATTTGACAGAAAGTAATTTAATAACAACAACAACAAAACCACAAAAGAAGAAAGTCACAATCCAGTTGACCACCTGAAAGTTACTCTATTCTAAACATCTTGGCAATAATTAAATAATCACATCTTAGACACCACACCAGGAAGGGCACTGGCGTTTTTTTTCTTTTTATTGTACTTTAGATGAAGGTTTATAGAACAAATAGTTTCTCATTAAACAGTTAGTACACACATTGTTTTATGACATTGGTTAAACACCTCATGACATGTCAACACTCTCCCTTCTCGACCTTGGGTTTCCTATTACCAGTTTCCTGTCCTCTCCTGCCTTCTAGTCCTTGTCCCTGGGCTGTTGTGCCCCGTTAGTCTCTTTTTGTTTATAGGCTTGTCTAATCTTTGGCTGAAGTGCGAACCTTGGGAGTGACTTCATTACTGACCTAGAAGCGTGTCCAGGGGCCATGCTCTCGGGGTTTCTCCAGTCTCTGTCAGGTCAGTAAGTCTGGTCTTTTTTTGTGAGTTAGAATTTTGTTCTACATTTTCCTCCAGCTCTGTCCTGGACCCTCTGCTGCAATCCCGGTCAGAGCAGTCAGTGGTGATAGCCGGGCACCATCTAGTTGTACTGGACTCAGTCTGGTGGAGGCCGTGGTAGTTGTGGTCCATTAGTCCTTTGGACTGATCTTTTCCTTGTATCTTGTTCTCTTCATTCTCCCTTGCTCCCGAAGGGGTGAGACCTGTGGAGTATCTTAGATGGCTGCTCACAGGCTTTTAAGACCCCAGACGCTACTCACCAAGGTAGAATGTAGAATATTTTCTTTATAACCTATGTTGTGCCAGTTGAGCTAGATGTTCCCCGAGACCATGGTCCCCACAGCCCTCCGAAGGGCACTAGCATTATCAAAAATAAAATTGCTTTGAGTTATAGGCATCAGGAAGCAGCAGCTTCATCCCAACAGGATGGGTTTAACGAAGGTATTGAGTGAGGTTTGGTAGATTTATAAATAAGGTTAGGGGGTAAAGGCTTTTACGCTGGCATTATTAACCTGTAAATGTATTCCTGTAAATGTATCTCTAATGATGAAAACTTAACAAACAAGCTGAGACTTCCCTTCTTTTATTTTAACAGAGAACTGTTGGAAGAAAACAAAATACACTTTGGGTGGAAACAGAAATTCCTAATGCTTTGGGAATCATTTCGGTACTTTTTCTAGAGGAACCGAAACTATAAAATATCTTTGTTTACTCAGTGTCACATGTGTTCTCGGGGCTGAA